TTTTAATTACAAGCAAAAATAAACATAGTCCCGGCCAAGGACTATATAATAAATCGAAATAAAATTGGGAGAGGTCTTGAAAGGCAAAAAGTGTTTGACTTAATTCTTATGTTATTGTGTTTTTACACTCGTTCCTTTATATTGTATTTGACTTTTTTTTTTTTTTTTTTTTTTCTCAATGCATATATAGCTAATATCTCTGAATATATAACAATATTTTTGTTGCATATGATTAGAAATTATATTGTAAATCTAATATTGAGACAAATCCAAGAAGACATAGTTTATTTGTGGTCAACTAGCGTTTTACTACTTATTAGTAGTAAAGTAGACAAACAAACAAAAACAAATACGTATTACATCCCTAAATTATTTAGTACAAGTATCACTTAAAGCAACCTTAAGAATATAAATAAATTAAAACAACAGGAATTAAAGTTACAAAAGTTTTTTTACCAAATATCGGAGTATAAAACTAGCTTCAAAAATGGAATTTATTTTACTTATATTTTTAGATCCAACAGAACATAGAAGAAGTGATAAAAAGTGGTTCAAGGGTTATAAGTATCAACACGTACAGAAAAAAGGCAAAAATTAGTGGAGTAGCACCCACAGAAATATCATTCAATTTGAAAAAAATGCTTTGTTTCTTTTTTTGGGGTATGTTTTACGTCTTCAATTCACAGAATCCAGAAGACAATGACATACTTCCAAAGTGGTGGCTGCTGTGGACCGTCTTTTATAACCTTAGTTTTTTGGACCTTAGTTTTTCCTTTTAGGTATTTTTTTAGTAATGGCCCACACTCCTTATTGGACTGCGTTGAATAAAGTTTGTACTTGTACTTGGGGTTGAATTGTTTCATAAAAGGCCTTGAAATTGGCCCAATAGCCCATTAAATTTGACACGTATATTTTTTTTTGAGAAAACGTTGTAGGTGCATTATATTGATAACTTGTCTATCAAAACATAGGGAAATTTGACACGTATATAACTCATACTTGTACGAGTATTATTCATTTCAGTATGTGAAAAACATTTATTGGATGTGAATATTAGAAATAAATAAATAAAACTAACAATTTGTCTGTTTGACTCCGTCATTCGTCCAATATACCAAGGTTACCAACAGCATATTGGATAGATTATGAGTAACATTCTCACATCTATCTACCTAAGAAATAAGTGTTTATAGTTAAAACTATACTACCGAGTACTCCGTAGTACTTAGTGGTAAGTGTCGTATTTTATAATCTCTAATCGGGGCACTCCTTTAACTCTTTCTTCCACTTCCAAGGTGCCTTATTCTACTCGGTGATAAGGTGTCTTAATATTAATACAATTACTAATTACTGATAGATCAAAGTTCATGGCCTACAGCGTTTAATAATACTACAGCATTTGTCAAAAAAGTTTATGGCAACATCTTAATGGAGTACCTCAAAGGAGTGGTTGGGCTTGATATAACTTTCATAAAAGCCCTTAATTAAGTCTATAGCCCACTGTATATTATGAATTGTAGACTTGTAGTATTAGTCAAACTTTGTTTGCATCATTATTGACCACCATAACACTTTCTGTTTTATGAGCAAAACCATCATTTCATGGCATTGAGAGCTCCCGTTAACTTCCGTAGACAATTTTTAGGTCTGCTTAGACCTATATGCTTTGCCAATAAGCCGCTAGGCCAAATGGGCACACGTTCTTGAACTAATATTGGCTTGTGTCGACGAGTAGTATACAATGTGTAAGCTCCATTGATCTTCAATCCATATGCAACAAGTCAATCTATAGATGGTTACCTTCTCGCCTTCTTAATAACAGTGCAAGAGAGTCCGTTTTTAGGCAATTTTCATGATAAAAATTGAACATTGTGTATTTATGTAAGCTTCATTGATGTTCATGGGTGGTGGTGTTCAAATGATAAAAATATGTTCCAAAAAATAAAATTCAAGAGAAGTTTAATTCATCTAACATAAAACTTACAATATTGCTACTCCATAACAATTTATATATTTCGTACCAATTAGTAAAACCGGTTGTATCCGTGTATTGTGTGCGTACAATATATCCAATTGTGCAATGAGCATCATGAAAGATCTAGGTCCTTAATAGTTTCCTTTCCATCCACAAGATTGAACATTAAATTCTGACCAGCTGCTCAACTCTTCTCCCATCTTGTTAGATACGGTTAGGCCTGGTTATTGGGTAGGGCTATCCAATGGCAAAAGGGTCGGGCCTAATACTAAAGGGTTTTGACCCTTTAATTTTTTAATGAACAGGGCTTTTATAGGGTCTTATTTTATAGGGTTTTTATAGGGTTTTATTTTATAGCCCAATAATTTAATAATTAAACTAAAGAGCCCAATAATAATTGTAAGGGTCAGCAGTCAGCTACTACCTCTCTTCCATTTTCTCTCTCCTCCATTTTCTCTCTCCTCCATTGAAGCCACTCAGAGTTCTCCATTGAAGCGCAACTTCAGAGTTTTCCATTAAAGCACTCAGAGTTCTCCATTGAAGCGCAACTTCAGAGTTCTCCATTGAAGCGCAACTTCATAGTTCTCCATTAAAGCGCACTCAGAGTTCTCCATTGAAGCGCACTCAGAGTTCTCCATTGAAGCCGCGCACTCAGAGTCTCAGGTAACATCATTTTCTCTCTCTTAATCTGTTATTCAATTTTAATATCTGATTGAAGATCCGGTTTAGGTTATATGATGTGATCGAAAATCAATTCAAATTGGATTTTCTTCTGGGTAATATTCTCTTGTTCATTTCTCTACTAATAGTTCTGTTTTTTAGTCACATTACATTAAAGTAGTAAAGATTTGCTTGGTAGTGGCTGTTTCTGTCCTTGCTGGGTGCAACTTATGTCTGACTTCTGTTTTTTTTTTTTTTTTTTTTTCTGCTGGGGGCTGCAGGTCTTGTTTCTGTGTGCTGCTGGCTTTTTGGTTCTGTAGTTGCTTGTGTTGGTGTGGCTGGGAGGTGCTTTGTAGCTGCTGCTGTTGCTGGAGGCTGTTCTGAGTTCATGAAGCACTCAGAGCCAAAGAGCTTGTTTCATTCCTACTGCTGCTTCATTCTTTTGTGGTATCTGAGAACATTTGCTAAAATGTTGGCAATGAACTAGACCATTCTAGTAGTATTTCGTAAATCTAGAAACTAGTATATTACAATTGATGTAACAGGGTTAGTACTCTTGGTGAACTTATTTTGGCGTGCTGGTTTTCTCTACACAGGCTCTACTTCTGGTTTTATTTTGATGTGAAAGATTTTTATGAGACTTTGATCCTGCATATATCTTTGTCTGAGCACAAGTATACTATTTAAAGATTAGTATACCATTTAAAGATTAGTATGCTATTTAAAGATTAGTAGAAGTTAATGGCCCGTTAATGGCCCGTTTTACTTTTACCTCGACCCTGACCCGACCCTGACCCGCATTGACCCTGACCCGACCCTGACTCGCTAAATATTCATCATGACCCGCAACCGACCCGCCCCGCTAATGACCCGCACCGACCCGCCCAATAACCACCCCTAGATACGGTACAAGGAAATAGTCACAAGCTTATGCAACGGCTATTAATTTGGCTTACCTTGCCCTTCCTCCAAAGGAAATATCATCTTGTTTTTGACAATTGTGAAATTTCTATGAGTTTGATAACCTACATCCTTATCCATCCAATTTATTACACCTCTGCTTTAAAGATTAGATTTTTACTCCCTCTCATTTTTAATTTTAGTCAAATATGAAGTAAATCATAATCGAAAATCAATTGATGCTATATTTTTAATTAAAAATGGAAAAAATGAATAAATACTCCAATTGAAGCTTAGTTCCTAAATGGATGGGATCAATTTTGATTTTTATGATAATTCCAAAATTCGACCTAAAGAAATGGCATGAAGAAGACGTACTCAAACGTGAGATTATTCTAACGAAAAGATGAATGTAGGAAGAAATAAATTCAATATTGTCCATACCACCAAAGTAACAAACTAGTCCCTTAAATATAATTAAAGAGCCAATTTTAAAACTTACAAAATTACTCGTAGTGGTACAAAGTTCAAACTTAAAATTAGAACCAATTTAACACGCTTCATAAATAATCATAAAAACAATGACTACAAGTTTTAATCTTTAGCAAGATTTTTTTTGAGTTAAAGGTTAGAAACAATTGATATTGAAAAGTTAAAAGGAAATAAAGCAAAGAACAAAAACAAAAATTAAAAGAAAATCAAAATCAATATCAGATGAACTGTTATCAAGTCAAATTTAAGCCACAACTTATATGAAAAATAATTAACCCAACAAACAACTACAACCACCCACCTTAATCTTTCTGCTCAATCTTTATATAAGGAAATTAATAGAAACTAAAAAATTTGAGTCTTTTAAAAGACCCAACTTGAATCCAGATTAGTCCGAGTAGATAACATAGCAAAAGTACTCTTTTCTTGATTGAAAATAAAACAGACTTACATGAGGTACAAATATACCTTGATTATAGCTAAATATTACAACCCATAAAAATTAAAGACGATAACTTGGAACAAATTGAACTACCCACATACTCTGTATGATTCTTGGACCCCAAAACCTATACATATAATCATATCCCACAAAACTATATGTAAAAGATTATGCTAAAGATTAAACACCCAAATTACATAATAAAAAAAAAAAAAAAAAAAAAAAAAAACTAGTGACCCTAAAACATTATTTACTACGGAGTACTAAAAAAACAAGCTAAACCTTTGCACCCAAATAAATCCGATTTTCCTACTGGAAAAAATACGAGGAATTTCTCGGATTATTTCTGCAAAAAAGCTTAACCTCTCTTCTAAACCTTTACCCATTTAATTAATTAAAACTTAGATTATTATTAACTTCTTCCCTAAACTTCCAACCTTTACGTTTTTCTTTCCTTAAACCAAACACGCCCTTATACCTTCTGTGCCATAAGAAATACCAGATTTACCCTTTACTCCATTTTTTCTTCTTTCAACATTGAAGCTTCAAAACTCTCCTTAACTCACACGCGATCTCTTGGTTGTGAGCTTCACCGCAGTTTCTCCTCGTAAAGAACGCCGGCAATGGAAGTTCACTCGGTGGAGGTGACGTCACAAAAGCTGAACCGGCGTAGAACCCATCAAGAACCGGACCGGAAAAGGACCGGGACTCCGGTTCAGATTTCTTTGCTGGTTGAGGAAGGGGAAGGCTGATTTCTTCACCCCGTTTCAAGATCCGGATTTGACCTAAAATGGGCGGGCTTCTGGGCCGGGCCTGTTGGGCTTTACCTGAAGGAGGAGGCGAGTTGCGTCTTCTACGGTTAGATCTAGGGTTAGGGTTAGAGTTAGGTTTAACCGCCGGAGAAATGAGTTGACGGCGGTGGTTATGGTGTCTTTTCAGGCAATCATACGGCTGAAGGGTTGCTACTTCCATCGGAAAATACTGGTAAAAATCTTCTCAAGAAATTGGAAAAATTGGAAAATCTGATGGATCTAGAAATTTGTTTGTTGGGTTTGATGAATTTTAACAGCGGAATTACAGAAGAAGATAACTGTACACGAAAGAGGAGAGAGAAATGATAGGGTTTAAATGTGAGGGGAAGAAGTAAGGAGGAGAGAGAATATATAGAAGGGTAAAGAGGAAGGGTGATGGTGGCGTAAAGGGGAATTTGCGAGGCAATAGCTCAAAGGCAACTTGGATTAGGTTTGGTTACGCGCTTTTCTTAGGCGCGTGCCGTTCAGTGTTTTGGGAGGGTGAGGGAGTTGGGGTTGGATTGAATTTTTAATTGGTGAGGGTGTGTCATCAATCACATCGTTTTGGAGTATTTTATAAGGAAGGGAACAAAGGTTTGGATTAAATTAGGATTTGTGTGCTTGTCTTCTTGATTTGCAAATCAATTAAAGGTATCAGTTTTTTTTTTTTTTTTATGTTAAGTTTTTTTTTAAATAAATATATAATTCATACTCCTCTTAAAATAAAATAAACCTATTAAGATTTTTTCAAAGAATATTTTCTCCATTTTTTTTAACTGGATCACTTTTCTTAAAAAAAAAAAAAAAAAAAAAAAAAAAAAAAAAGTGGTTTTAAATTAGTTGTATCAATTTCCTTTTTAACTAATAAATTTTCTTTATTTCTCTTCTACCACACGGGCCTCATTAAGTTTTTTTTCTCTCTACCTCTCTCTACTCCAAACATTACTGAGTCCGTGAAAATAAAAATGATGCAACTAAAAAATAGAGGAAGTATAAAACATAAAATATGGTTTATTATTTTGACCATATGAATAGAAAGGGAGCTGACTTTTACTTCCTTCGTCTTTTATTAAATACATCACTTTCTATATATGCATGTTTCAATTTGGATACATCACTTTCCTCTTTAATCAATAAAATCTCTCTATTTCTCATACCACATGAGCCCTTTTTATTTTTTCTCTTGTCTCTCTCTACTCCAAAAATTGTCTTTAGTCCGCAATTTTAAAAGTAATGCTTAAAATAAAAGGCAGCGGATATATGTGACATTGTTACTTTTGAGCGAACTAGACTGAAGTGGAATAATGAATTAAGATGATTTAAATTGAACTTACTAAAAATTAATTCAATCAAAACATTGAAATTTGTGCTCTAATTAGAGTATTATAAGATCCATATAATAAATATATGACCCATCAATATATATATATATATGAACATATACTAAATGTGTTAAATTACCGTATGCACTTGTTATATGAAATAATTAATGACAACTTAGGAATAATATTAAGGGCATTTGAACATGAGGTTTAATTTGATCGAGATAGTAATTACAAATTTTATGGGGGGGGGGGGTGTGGTTTGGAAATCATGTCATTTTTCAACTCACAAGTTATATATTACTCTGATTCATATACTCATATACATAAGAAAATGATGTCATTAAGTCTTATCGAAAAGCGAGAGTTAAGGGAAATTTTATGAAAGACAATGTCTTTTACTTTAGTAATATAGTGTATTGATGTATGTATATTTCATGGTGTACTTAATTATCATGGTACTACTCGTATCGATAGGTTGATCATCCATCAAGTTACAGTAAATCTCTTAAATTGCAATTTAGTAGGTTAGTGTAACTTTCAAAATAAATTCAACGATGTTTACAATTGTTACTTTCACTTTTTTTTTTTCCAATTTTGATTATAAGTATAATTTTACATAATCATAATTTTTATTTTGAATTACAATTCTTCACTTTGATTGTTATCCTTTTGTATACCCTGCCATTGAAATTAATACGAAATGGAAGGAATAATATAATTTATATCTATCTATATTTATACTTCTATTTATACTTAGTATTTAAAAACACAAACCATCATCCCCATGATGCCACATGTAAATTTTATTTTTCACCAATGTCACATGTCACCTCATTTACCTTTTTTTTTTTAATCTCTGTTATAAACTGAACCGCAGAAACAAAATAGTAAGAACAATGTTACCGGGAATGAGACTGAGTCGCGGACTATGTCGCTTTCTTTAGAACATTCACGGTACTGCCTCAAAGGTGTGCAAGCAGCTCGTACGCAACCGGATGTCCCCCAGGATAAAACAGCCTCTCAAAATAAGGAAGTACCGGTGGATTTGCACAGAACCACCGGGCAACGAAAACACCAAAAAATGCAATGAAACTGCTCGAATTTTTAGAGGAAGAGAGATTAGAAAATTTGTGATTTTTGTTGTGTATGAAAACCGAGAACAAAGAGGCCTTTTATAGGCAAAAATTGCAGCATAACGGTCCAGTCATTAACGCACCATTAAGCCAGCACAACGGCCAAAAACTGAATTTTTCAAAACGGTAAGCAAAATTAACGCCCCATTAAGCCAGAAAACGGAATAAATTAAAACAGTCAAATTTCAATTAACACAAAATCCGGAAAAAAAAAAACGTTACGGAGATAATTAGTCAAAACCGTTTAGTTAATAAACTCGACCCGACCCAACCCGATTCGGTTCGGCGCGCGTGTGTGTGTGATAGGTGGGCTTGGTAGGTAAGTCCTCTCTCTCCACAAAATGTGGGTAGCCCAAGGGCCACACCCAAATTCTCCATACTCTATATTATAAAGGAGGACAAACCTCCCTTTCCCTCCAATGTGGGACTTTTTGTTTTCCACAAAATTCACACACCAAAACACATTGTTCCAACAATCTCCTTTCTCACATTAAAATAAATAAATAAATAAATAAACTCGTTTTAATTAAATACGTATATGAATATTGTTTGGTTCATTTTCCCTCAACTTAATACCTTCTATAATTACATTCAATTTTCACCCCTTCTCCTTTATAAAGTATTCATTTTCCAATAAAAACATATTATAAAATAAAAGTTTATATTGTATATATAAATAACCCGTGCATTGCACGGGCCAGAAGGCTTGTTATTCTATATTTCCAATACCATAAGTTTTTATGATCAAACATGGGAACACATAAAATTGATATTCATAGTCTCGTAACAACTTTATTATGGTTAACGAATAATATAATCAATACCTTAATAATACTCCCTTTATTTTTTTTTATAAACTAGAGTTATTATTTTCGTCCGTTTTTTTTTTTCAATAAGCTAGAGTTCCACTTTTGGGAATCTCTTGCAATTTAATAATATATCTTTACCCACTAATGTCCCCACTCTTTTTTACTTTATCATTTCTCACTCCTCCAATGGTCCTCACATCCTCTCACACCACTTTACTTTTTAATAAAATAATAACTTTATCTACCCCACTAACATCATATTTTATTAAACCAGCTAAAAGTCCGTGCAATCAACTCTAGCCTATTAAAAAAAAAAAACGGAGGGAGTACTAGGTTATTTGTACATTACTCACCGTGCACACATCATTGACATCAATAATACTCGGGCAACGCTATTATGCTTAGCCCATAACACACTTGCTGAGCTGCATATATATATTGAGGGGGCTACAGCCTACAACTACAACCTCTGTTAGATTGAAATCATTTTAAGAATATACTCATGTGGTTTAGAGATCATGTGTGATTACGCGATTAAAAATAACTCTATTTTTCAAAAGAAAATTGTATTCTTTTTAATTTGAGGGTTTCTTTTAAATTAATATTCTCACGTCTATCTTATTCTATTTTGGACAATCAATTTTTTACCAACAGCTAGCCCCTTTACCTTACAGTTTTGGCTATCAAGGAGTATGAGAGTTTGGTTGACTTACAAGCTCAAATAACACTATAATACTACCTTCGTTTCATACTATTTGCAACAAAGTAATATTTTACGTTTCACAAATAATACACATTTGTTGCAAATAATATGAAATAGAGATAGTATGTAATCATCATACAACAAGAGGGGCAGCTCCTCAAGCACACAAGGTTTATTGAATTTTCATCTTCTTTGATGCAGTAGATCTCACAAAAGTACAATTAAAGGTTCAACAATGAAAGTACAACCTTGTTTGACCATAGATCAACCTTAAACTCCTTAACTCATTCAATTACTTTATAGTTTCATCACAACAACTCTTAGTAATTCTCAATCCGCATACATTGCTCATATGTACCTCTCATGCACTGACACATAATACAATTCATTAAATATTTCAAATACACACTAACTTCACAAGGTGTAAACATAACTCAATGTGTAAGTTATAGCAAAAGCACCATTCTCGATACTCCTCAAAATCTTGACCTAATTTGGAAGATATCGATATATAGCATTAGTCATAGTGGCATTGGAGCTTTTAAGGAGTAAGCAAGGTATTATGGGTTGATTAAAATTAATCAACAAATTTTAAAATAATAATTCAGACGATGAATAGAAGCGCGTAGGGAACATAGCGTGTGGGGATAAGACCGAACCGGCATAGGCCCATCTGACGTGGGTACCAATCAAACGGTTTCCATTAATAATCTTGCTGAAATTTACAATTTCACCCTTCTGGTTTCTCGAATATTACGAAACTGCCATTTAATTGGAACTAGTGGGAAACAGGGGTTAGTAATGTGTGGGACCCTCAAACTTATTAAATTTATTTTCTTTTACGAAAAAATCTAAATTAAAAAAATAAAAAGAAGGGGAGAAATGAAAGGGACGTGTTTGTTTCCTAAAAAAAGAAAAATTGGGAATGAGAGCCGTAAATTTGTTCTACACGCGTCAGTTATTAACTGGATTGATGTTCACAGGTTGACAATGAAAAGATAGCTTCTTTTTTGTTTTTTTTTCCCCTTTAATTAATTGTTTAGGATTGAAATTAAAATAAATAAATAAATAATTGCGTTTATGTTGGGTTAAGAAAGGTTGACTATTCTCCTTTGGCTGCTCGCTCGTAATTACACCAACCATACGAAAGGTTCATCCCTTCATGTAATCCCTCCGTCCCTTAATTTTAAAACTTTGATCATGAATTGTCGTTAATTTATAAGTGATAATTTATTTATGTAGAATCTTGTTATAATCGTCTCATTGTATAGTTTATTAATATCAAATTTTTATAATTTTTACGCATATAAAATTGGAGATAAATACGTTTAAAGACGCGTCTTGAAAACCGTGAAAAGTCAAATGGACAAAAATAAAAGATAGAGGGAGTATGAACTTGGACGGTCCGTTTGGCAATTGGTTATAATCAGTTATGATAAAAAAGCATTTAATTAAAATTTGATAAGCTAGATCATAGTGTCCATGTAATCGGTTATGATAAAAATGCACTTAATTAAAATTTGATAAGCAAGATCATAGTATCCATATTAATGTATAATAGTCTTTATATGTGTCATTGTTTGTAAAAACCACATAAACTTTTAAAAAATCGGATGTACACTATACATTCGTTGTAACATTTTCTTAAAATAATTAAAAGTTAAGCTTATCCATTAACATTATATCGGGATTAAAGTTACCTAAAAAAATTAGATGTTATTTTAAATTGGCTTAAAGTAGATATACACTAATTTAATATTGTAAACCAAGTATATACATTTATTTTTTTATTTTTTATTTTTTTGAAAAACCCATTAATCCTTTATACGAAGGATGTTAAATTTGTATCTAAAAGAGTATTCATGGGATGAAGGAAAGTAGTGCGTCATATTTAACAGGATTCCAAAATTGATCTACACTGCAACCAACCAATAATGTTCTTAATTAGAATATTAGTGTGTGTTTTATCACATCTACAAAGTCCTAGTTATTCACGCACTCGTAAGGCCACCACATAAATCAGTGTATACTAAGTTTGCTCCTTAAAAAGTTTAGAAAATTTTGTCAGAAAAAATCATTTATAACAACTATTTTGTTGGGAAAAATCTTATAAAAAAATTTTGGCCACTAAAAACTTGATTATAAATTTTTTTTGTTTAAGACGACCTAAGGTCACTTTCTGGCATTGACTGGTCTTTTTCGACGTTGACCTCCCATGTGCAGGTCACGTGACCTTAATTTTTACTAATCCCACCCCTTCCTTTCTAATCTCACCCCCTAATTTCCCTATTAACTCCGTCGTTTATAATCCTCCCCCCATCCTGTTCTGATTTCCCTCTTTTCTCTCTTTCAATTTCTCTCTTCAATTAGAGATCGTTCAAGAGCATCGAACTGTTAATTAATTTCAGTATTTGTGTTTGGCAACTGATATCGACCAAGGATAGAGTGGTATTGTTCTTTAATTTCGACCAAGGATATAGCGATAAATTTGGGTGGGTTAATGAAGGTGTAATTGATTGGCAGAGAGATGTAACCAATGTCCTGGTAGGAGAGAAGCACAAACTTTGTACTAATCTTAACATTATGAGAGCAAGGTTGTCATGTATTGAGCATGAGAAGGAAAGACTAGCCAGAGAAGTGGAAAAGCTGAACAACAAACTTTGGAGAAGGAACAACGTAGCTGGGTTGGAAAAGGGAGATGGGGTTAAGTATGGGTCTATAACGTGTGTGTGTGCGTGTGTGTTATTGTATCTGTTGTTGTGAGTTTCATATTTGTGAAACTCTTTGGCTAGAATTGGTGAGTATTTTCAGTAAGTTGGTTAGGTAGTTGGTAGTGCTAATTATTTGTACTTTTGAATGTACTTTGAATTATAAGAATATGAAATGAAAGTTGTATTAGAGTTCCTTAAATTGTGTGTGCAAATTGGTATGTTGAAAGTGAATTATAAGCAAAACTAACACAACTTCATATCACAGAAAATAAGCACTACATTATAAGTGCTAAATATAAGCATTGCCTTACAAACAAGGACTTAGTTCACAAAAGTACTTAGTTCAACAACAAACAGACTTAAACAAATTTATTTAGCAAAATACAGAGTAAGTGGCCTTCAAATCGTGGATTGCTAATTTGAGTAGGTTGTTCTTGAGACTGTGTTAGGGGTGGATGTCCAATTGCAGATGTTGAAGTCTGTGATGCTTGAATATGCTAAGACTGAGTTGCATCTTTCTTCTTCCTTTATCCAGGTTTTGTTGCAACTGATTTTTTCTGTCTTGGAGCACCATCAGAAACATCACCCTTCCCCTTTACTTGCAATTGAAAAAACTCTCACAACAATTATTAAGGAGCATACCAGATTTACTTGCAGAAGTAAAAGCATATTTGGACCAGTGTTGTGCTGGGATTTCAGTTAAGCCCTTAAAGGCATCCTCATTCAATTCCTGATTGCTGTCATATGTGTGTTGAAATAATGCTGCATTATATAAGCATACTTCGTTATATAGGTACTCAAGCACTAAAATTAGCAAATACAGAACATATGTGTAAAAGTATATAAATTGCAATTGCATATCACTGACCTTGCAGCCTTCCCGAAATATTCTTTGTACACCACACCTGGAAATTTGCATTTAAAGTTGGTCCAAATGTGTCTGCAACAGTATCTTGTGTCTACATTGAGCATAATTGTCTTGAATGCATCAATCAAACCCTGAAATTGATATCAATTTAATTTACAGAACATAAATTTGCAAGCCATGAAATACAAATCAACTCAACAACATCTGAATAGAAACTACCTTTTGCCTATCTGACATGTAAGTCAGATCCTCTTTCTCATGTACCCATGTAATTGAATCTGCAACTGAAGCAAGGTCTTCTTTCAACAAGCCTAAGAACCAGGTCCAGGTCTCTGAGTTTACAGTCTCCACTATTACCCATGTTCTGGTTTCCATTTTTTCCTATTGCTGTCAGTAAGATACCAGGGTAGGGTCCTCTTAAGTGTGCTCCATCTACACCAAGAATAGGTCTGCACCCTGCCATGAAACTCTCCTTGCATGCCTGTAAGCATATGTACAACCTTTGAAAAAGAGGTGGTGGATTCTCAATCCCTGTCACCTTCACCTTTGTCGTAGAGCCTAGGTTATACTTTATGATTGTTGCTGCATAATCCCATACTTTACTGTATTCTAAGTTTGCATCTCCAAGTATCATCTTGAATACCTTAGCTCTAGTATAAATGCCATGTAGTACACTATTTCAACCCCAATCTCTCTTCTTGCTCTCTTGATAAAAGCTTAAAGTTTCATGGAAGGATCATCCCTCCAATCCTCAACATATCTTTCAGCCAGCTACTGTGATGATAGCTTGGTATTATGAATTTGATGGCTGCATATGTGCCTCAATCTTAGACTCTTAAACTGCCATGTCCCCTCATCTTTCAACTTACAACAATACACCTTGAATCTGCACTTCCTCATATCTTTACACTTACACTCTAAAATCCTAGTCCTTTTCCAAGGACAACTACATCTTTTTGCACAAAACATAGTGACCCTACTCCTATTATTATGCAAATTATAATAGTCATATCCATTTTCAATTGCATGGTGTCTAAGAGCTTTCCTAAATATTGAATTGGACGGGAACTTCAAGCCTTTACTCAGAACGATCCTTCCCTAAAATCAATTTCTGGATTAAACACTGGATAGTCAGGACCCTCATCATCTGATCCTATCAAGCTTACCACCTCATCATCACTACCATCCAACACCACATCATCTTCCAACTCTATACCATTTGCATTACCATCCTCATCATCTGCCTCATTATCATGATGTACAGTCAGAACACCTAAGCTCCTAGTCACTCTCTCTGTTATGTCAAGGTCAACATACTTCTGGAACAAATCATCATCATCTTTATCATCATAATCCTCATCAGTTAAATAAAGATCATCCTCACTCTCAAATCTATCCTCTCCATCCACTAACTCATCTTCCTTTACAGGTTTCTCAACATGTTCAGCAATCTCATGGACTTGCTGATTCTCCTCTACAGGTTGCACTACACCTCTTGCACTCTTATTTTCTATTTCCTCAACCTCTTTTTGCTGTAAAGTTTTTTTTGGGTAGGAACTATTGGCAGCTTCTGCCTTACACCCCCTATAACAGAGCAGTTGTTGCTTATGAAAGAGGTCTGTTTTGAGAGTGAATTTGTGTTTGAGGGTTGAATGCTTGAAAGTTAGGTGGGAAGTTGGTGAGGGAGGCTGTGTTTGATGGATCACTTGAGACAATTATAAGGGTGTTTTCTTCAGACCTAGGGCTTTTATGGGCCATATTTGAAGTGCTAGCTGACTCACCACCCTTGATCCCACTCTCAGCCAAGTCACTAGATTATCTAATATCAGTTTCAGAATCTGTATACACCCCCCTGGTCCATAAGCTAATGTGTTATAAGCCTCTTATTCTTTTTAGACCAAGTATAGGTGGTACCACCCATCCTTTTCTGGTGACTGTAGAAACTCGGTAATCTCCACATCACTCTTTATCTGCTTCCTCCCATTGAACAGACTACACCCATGCTTCCTAAACCATATTTCTCCCACTTCATCATACCATAACTCATTTTGTATCCAGTAGGCAAACTCAAAATAGCACACTTATCTACATTTAATTTGGATGAAGTGAAACCCCATAATAATCAGAGTTCCCCTTTCATATGAAGTGTGTTTGTTCTTTGTTACAAAATCCCCACCGTAGTACAACTAATATTAATGGCCTCCATTAATTTATACCAAGGATTAAACACGTTATCTCTATATTAAACCTGATTCAATTAACAACATACCAATACTAAATTCAGATTCAACAACAACACATGTAAAAAAGGAATTATTATATACTTAACACACCAAACAAAACACACAAATTTTCTGAGTTTATGGTTCCCAAAAAGACAATATTTTACTTCAATTAATTAATCAACAAATCCTAACATAAACAATTTTTTAATCAGATTTGCGCATTTCCAAAAAAATTGAGAAAAAAAACATATTTGGGTTTATATGTCACTCTGTAATTGGTCCCCCTTAGCTTCTTCAATTCGAACAAGACGCAACTACCTTCCTCGCCTCCTTCTTCGCGTTCTTCTTAGCCATGGCAGAGAAATTACAGTAGTGTTCAGCAAAAAAAAAACCCAAAAAAGGAAAGAAACAACCTTTAAATAGAAACAATTAAGTAACTTACTGCTTAGGGTGGGTGTCAATTTAATTCAATTTGCTTCTTCATTGATTAATCTTGCAAACCAGAGGTGACACCATGGTAGAGATCTAGTTGAAGCAGATTAATTACCTCGTTTTTGAAGAGAGGAGAGAGAAGATGGGGGGAGATTAAAAGGAAAAGGGGGGAAACGAGTTAAGAGGGAAATTAGGGAGGGGAAATTAGAAGAAAAGGGTGGGATTAGTAAAAATTAAAGTCACGTGACCTGCACATGGGAGGTCAACGTCGGAAAAGACCAGTCAATGCCGGAAAGTGACCTCAAGTCGTCTTGAATAAAAAAATTTTATAATCAGGTTTTTAGTGGTCAAAATATTTTTATAAGGTTATTCCCAACAAAAAAAAATGTTATAAATGGTTTTTTCTGATAGAATTTCCAGTTTATTTATCTCTATGGAGTTAGACAATCTCAGTCGATGAGTTTATCTAGAGTTAATAGCCCAACTCATCTTATTTTTTGTGTATTAACAAGCTAAGTTAGACTAAACCAGGCCACCTAGTTTCTACAACCATCAATAAAAAGAACCTGTAGACCTTATACTTGAATATAGTAACTGGGTTTCAAATTATGCTATCAACATGATCATTATTTTCAAGTAAACAAAACATGTATAACTTATCATTTTTTTCAATTACAAAGTGGATCATCCTTTGAACAGAATACCTTTTTTTTTTTTTTTTTTTTTTTGGCGAATATAGCTAGTTTAGTGGGTTGACGAAGTCTTGTGTAATTGATTCTCCATATTAATTAATTATCTGACCAAAAAATTATTCAATAATTCTGTATTCATTCTAAGAATGTCGTCTTTGTTGTCCTAGAAAAGTTTCATTATTGGACTATTTAAACTTGTTGACTCGGAAATAAAACGCGGATTGACTTGGTTTGTCAACAGGTCATTGACAAATTGCTAATCTTCTTTTCTATTTGGACCTAATTTTAATCTTCGGCCCATATAAATGGTCCTTAAAATAAATCTATTTTAATTCATTAACAAGGCCCATAGACTCTTTGGGCTTCTGCAAGTCTGAAACAATAACTCTTTAACATTTCATTCGGTTTTTAACCATCTTTTTAGAAATTTCAAAACTCTATACTTAGCCCTTGTCAATTCTTGTTAAAATTTATTTTTCCTAAATTAATCTTATTAGAGTTTCTTCGAACTTATTTATCATGAAATAAATAAAAGATAAGGTAAACAGAGCATGTATTCATTTGAACAATTGTGTTAATATAAACTTAAATGATGAATTTTTTTTGATTAATTCTAGCATTATTTTTTGCATTTTGTATTTGTGTTTAGTTAATTTTGATTTGATTTAATTAAAATTGGATTGGATATTTTCGGAAGATCATGAATTGCCAATTCACTATATACTCCCTCCATTCTTTTTGATGTTCTTGCTTGGAGACTTGCAACTATAAAATGTTCTACTTATAAATCGTATTTAATATAATAACAAAAAGTATATTTATTTGTGATCTTGATTATTGATGATCTCAATAAGTCAATTTTTTTATACTGCTAAGTGGAGTAATATAATATGTAACTCGAGATTAATGATCAATATATATGCATGGATAAATGTACAAAATCAATATGAAAAAAAGGGAGGGATTAATAATTTTATACTGTTCACATATAGTGGCTAGGAGTACTTTGTTGCAAGTAGACAAAATTTTCTTTTACGTACAAAAAAGAAGAAGAAAAAGATAGTGGAAGATGTCCCTACAAATTACATCAATGCGTTAATTTAAGCTGTCTAATCACAAATAAAGGGTTTAATCACAAAGAAGAAAAAGAAAGTTAGATTGCTTTTTTCTTTTGGATAAAAACTTTTGATGTTGATTGTAGACTTGGTGGTTTTTCGTCGGTGGCATGAATATGATGATGAAATATATAGCTGCAAATAGTATGTACTCGTAATTGTTTTACTATATGTACATTCAAATTGGATTATTAGTTGGGGTGGTCTTATTTGGAGTCTTTCCAGTTTAATTACAGTCTTATAGAAATCGTGGGACACGCACGGGAGTCATCATACAATCGTGAATCGTCCCAACCATATGCACTTAATCAATCCCTCACGCCAATTCTACTTAAATTAATAGCCCACAAAGAAAGGAAAAAGGTGCCCTGGACTTGTTTGCTATAAGCACTACGTACAGCCCGCGTGACTTGGACTTGGCCCTTGTGTAATGTGTGAAGTGCGGTGTGGTATGCTAAATTTGTCATTGTATTGGGCAAAATTGTAATCGTGTTAATCATGGACCTGGGCCACACTAACCATTATCAAAAGTGAATTCGGCCACTTCATCGCATAAAGCTAATGGAGGTTCCATTCTGGCCAAATCATATAAATGGCAATAATATAAGCCAAGAAATTAACTCTCGAACTCTTCCTTTATCAACATGGGATGCTCAAATGTGTTATTCGAAAAGGATACAATTTAACAAATAGGGTACGAATAAGACATTAATTAAGTCTAGTAGACAATAAGTAATAAACTCTACCGTGACTCTAGACTTAATTAAAAGAATATATATAGTCAATGCAACTCTAATATTTTAGATTTGAACAACGGGTCGGGGTAATTAACTTTATGTATTTAAAAGAAAAGTTCTAAGCATCACTCAAACCTTGTTATGCTTTTCATATTAATGAGCTCCTCGGTCAATTCCAATTTCCACTTTAACCTAGACATACAAATATAATCTTAGGTCATGCACTCACGTATGCTCATATCAAGTGAGAAAATGTCGTACTATTTTCATATGGGACAAATAAATACGCTTCTTAGAGAAATTTACACCCACTTATTATTGCCAATTAATAACGACTCTAATAATAATCGATAAATCAATTTTTGTAACAAATTTTTTAAAAAATAAAATAAAAAAAAAGTCGAAAGAAAAAGGTGGACGTCATTTATACATGCATGCATGACGACCTAGATAATATGTTATGATCTGACGTGTCGAGTTTGTGATCACTGGATCACACAAAGATTCACATCAGTAAGACAGTGGACCCCACTTAGCTATCTACCTTACCTAATAAATTTCCGAATGGAGCTTATCTAGCTGGAGCACAAATGTAATTAGTCTAAGGCAATAGAACGAGTAGTATATATGATATCCACATGTTATTTCAGTTTTTGAGTAAGGTTTGATTTGGACATTTGATTCAAATTTATTGGTGTGTATAATATAAAATAGAATGCAAATTATTGTGTTATTGGGTCTTTTCAATTATCATGTTATGTTTCAAGATTCATTCAATTCAATCCTATAAAAAGAAATTGGGAAGATTGGTTGTGTTAATGACTTAAATGATTTTCACTATGAATCATTAAATTAATAATTGATCAAATGATATTATTGTAAACAATGTTGATAGCTTAGTAACCATTTTAAAGCATAGAAATATTCTATTTTTTTTTTTTTTAAAAAAAAAAAAGCATAAAAGGAGAATTGCATAGTTTTTTTTTTCTTAATCAACAATTTATAACACGCTTGCCTACTTGTCTAGCTTAGCCCCTAATTTGCTACATGTGAATGTATTGGAGATTTAATTTAGATTATTAGCATTGCTCATTTGCTCATGCTTATTTAAGTTTTTTCACGAATGAGTTAAATAATGGGTCTTTATATATTTATCATAATCATATACCAATGTGCAGTGTTTCTTTCCACTTTCACCAATCAATAATTCCATGTTTGCTTAATTTCCAAATGGTTGATGTTTATTATTCATTTCACAAATTTGTTCGTTTTCTAAATTATTGATTTTTATTAACATAACTGGAGAGCCAAGATCCTACCAAAAGTATTTTACAACTCAAATGAGACAATCACACAAGCCGTAACAACTAATTTAAAATATAGTGAGTTATCAGGTTATACAAGAGTACAGTGCCTAGAAGTTGCTTATCATAAAATTCCACGTTTCATTATCATTAGTAGAGAACTCCGTATTCTTTAATTTGAAATAGAGTTTGCATATCTTTCCAAAGCTTTTTGTGTTTTGGAAAAGGAACCCGACCAGTGACCACAGCAATATAAGCACATCACCTAAATAAAGAAAGAAAAAGAAGGGGGGAACAATGTTAAAAAAAAGAGGCTGCCTTCCCATAAATAATTAAAAGTTGAATAAAAAGAGAAAACTACTTCCTTTGGAAGTATCCAATATAAGCAACTACCCACATGGTTGTATTATGCTAATCGCTAATTATGCACCAATTTAAGAGCTCAGCAAATCATAGCTTACACTTTAAACGAAACAAGTAAATTATAAAAAAAATATAATAATAGGAACACACAAGATACAAGTATGTACTACAAAGGCAAAGAGTTCTTATTTAGCACGGTTGTGGAAGTTTTCACTTAAATTAAGCTGAAAAATTACCGAACATTATTTGCAACAAGATTGATGCCTTGGATATATATATGGAGTTGTGTCTGCCTACTTTTTTTTGTTTGATATCAATTTTATTTTTATTTTTTAATTTTTTATTTTTTTTTTTAATAACTGTATGTGTAATCTTTTTGTTCCAATTTAGTTTGTTCACTTATCAAAGCAAAATAATTTTAGTTTTAGGTATAATTTAAGAGTGTAATCATGGGCGTGTTTAGCAAAATATAGTTGTGGAGGTAGCTATTAATTGTTGTAATAATGATTAGCTGTGGAGGTAGCTATTAGTTGTGAAGATACATAATTAAAATATGAGTGTTCGGTAACTAACTATTGACTAACAGTTAACATATAAAACATTGTCAACTGCTCAAATTTTTCTTTTCTTAAGTAGTGATTTAACTTGGTCAAACCACTTAAAACTACTCAGAAGCTAGTACCGAACAAGCCGTATATAAATAAGCATATGTAATGCAATATAATAGAGGATTTTGTGATTGAACAAGAGAGTGTGTAACCTTAGCTTTAAGTTGTGGGAAGAAATAAAAAAATTTGGATTAAAAATTAGACTATAATATTTTTTGCAATAAATTATTTATTTCAATTTATGTTAGTAGTGCACAAATCATTTTAAATGTTGAAATTAAAACTTTGTTATTGTTATAAGTAGGGTTGAGCAAAATTATCCGAAAAATCGAACCGTAACCGAACCGAAAATTAGAGTACTCGTTCCAATAATTATAACTGTTCGGGTATTCGATATGATAATTTGTTATCAGGTATGGTTATTGGGTATCGTTTTAAAATTAACGGTTACTCGATCCGATCCGATACGCAATTTTTTTTGTTTTTTTTTTCCTTCTTAAATCTATTCATCCAAAATCAAAACTCTTACTTTACTTCGTAATCACTTCATAATTTAAATGATTAGTAATTATTAGTTATTTGGTCATGATCACGTGGTATTATTGTTGATTAGTGTTGAATGATATCATAATAACTATATTATAAAGTAAATTTTCATTATTCAATATCATATTGGGTACCCGATAATCGATTCAAAAATTCGGGCACCTGAAATTCAGGTACCTGAACTTATTAGTTCGGGTAATTGATATCATTTTTAGTGTTATTGATTATCGGATACCCGAACCGATAGTGTTAACAGTACGGATACCCGACCCATGCTCATCCCTAGTTATAAGCCCCAAATCACTTTGGATCTTGGAATTAATTCCATTTAAAACTTTGTTGTTGTTGTACTTAATTATTTTGGATTTTGGAATTAAAACTCTGTTGTTGTTGTTGTTTTAGTAGGAGCAGTAATCAATGTTGAAGAAGTAGAAATGAGAATGCTAAAATTAAAATTACCTTATGACAAAAAGCAAATCAAAAAGCTCACTATTGACAGAGACAGACTATGTAAAATATCCATGACTTGCATACTTTCAACCAACCAAAAAAAAAAAAAAAAAAAAAAACTGCTACCACTTTTATTTTTATTTTTTTAAAAATTATTTTTATATTTTATTTTTTCAAGGCTATGGTTTTATAGGAATGAGAGAGAGACAGAAGAGAGTGAGAGTGAAAGCAAGAAAAATGTGAAGTGAAGATAACAAGCTCCATTAAACCAAAAACCAGGGCAATTTCTAACTACTTCTTGTTTATGTCTTCTTCATTCTTTTAATTATTTTGTGAGAAACAACATTTGCAAAAATTTTGGAATTTTTTGATAAAGGGGACAAAATATGAGCAAAATTGTTATTATTTTATTGTTTGCTTTTCTCCAACATCAAAATTCATACATTGAAGCAAGAAAAATTTCCCCTGTTTCATCTCCCCTGTTTTCACCTCTAAGTTCTCCAATTTCACCTTCATTGGCGGAATTTTCTCCAGGTAATGTACTTAAAGTTCTCTCCTTTTCCCATCATTAGTACTGATTTGAGTTTAATTACAATTTAATTGTCTTTAATTTTGAGGGGGCCACTTCAAAAATTCAAAAAAAAAAAAAAACCCCTAGAACAGTTATGACCCATAACATTAAATTTAATTTTTGCACTATATTATTATTGCAAGATTTTATCTTCAAATTAATGTAGGTGATAATTAACATTATCTTTCTTGCTCCCATGTAGCTCTCATAAATCATCTGTTTTTATTTATATAATTGTGAAATCTAATTTAGCAATTTTTGATCCAAATTTTGCAATATATGTTGGATATATATTCTTTAATTGCAATTTAATTATTTTGGATGTTAATTTATTTGATTTGATGAACAGGAATTGACGTGGGTGGTGGAAACACAAAAATGAATACAAATACTAGACTGAAAGTAGCCCTAATTGTTGCTAGTGCTTCAGTTGGTGTGGTTATGTTATCTTTGTTTTGTTTGTGGATTTTTTATAAGAGGAATTATGGCAATAAACCCAGAAAGAAGCATGACAGAAAATCAGGTAAATTTGGTTTTTTTGGACTACAAATTTACCTTTTATGGCAAGATCTTCTTATTTTTTATAAATATGGACTGACGGTTATTCTTGTGTATGTTGTTTACATTGGTGGGATTCAAATAATGAAGATTTTGTCAATCGATTTTCGTTCAATCAATCAATGGGTAGCTTGAATTCATTGAAAATGAGTAGCAAATTAGGAGGGTGTGTCTCTAACATGGACTATAAGATGCTAGAGGCTGCCACCGGCAATTTCGACGAAAATAATGTATTGGGTGTGGGTGGTTTTGGATGTGTGTATAAAGCTAAGCTTGATGGTGATTGTTATGTTGCTGTGAAGAAAATCAATGTGGGTGTTCAAGAAGCCGAAAAGGAATTCGAGGTACTATCAATTTGTTGTTTCTAAGCTTGCATTTTCTGTTTAAGATGATGAATTTGCAATTGTTCTAATTGTATATTCCGATGTTGGGTTGCAATTACTCAAGTGCAGAATGAGATTGCGTTGTTAAGTAAAATTCGGCATCAGAATATCATAACTCTTTTGGGCTGTTGCATACATGGTGATACAAGATTTCTTGTGTATGAACTTATGGAAAATGGATCCCTAGAAACTCAGTTGCACGGTAATATTTCAGAACACTCTCATATGTTGTGGTACTCGGACTTAGGTACTCATGTCTAGCAAGGGTATGTGTACTGTCAGTCTGTAAATCTAGTATCAGACTTGGCTGTTCTATGAAACATTTCCATGTTTTTGGTCCAGAATGAAGTGGGAACTTGTTAGATTGTCAAGGATCCAAGCATCCTCTTGAGGTGAAATGCAGAGTCTGAGTGGCATTGTGATAATTCATATCAGTCATATGACTATATGAGATAGTATAATTTCAACTGTCAAAACTAAAAGTATTATAGAATGAAAGGATGGAGATCCTAATATTTGTATTTGATCAATGCTCTAGGTGTTTCTCGAGGATCTGCTTTAACTTGGCATATCCGAATGAAGATTGCTCTTGATATTGCAAGGTGACATTTTAAAACAATATAGATACATTCACTTGTGTTAAACTTTGGTTTTTTTAATCGCATGACGACAAATTTGTATGTCTTGATCAGAGGGCTAGAATATCTACATGAGCACTGTAACCCTCCAGTCATTCATAGAGATCTGAAATCATCTAATATCCTTCTGGATGCCGGGCTTAATGCCAAGGTTAATACCTTATTTTTGTTTATTGATTATTATATCATCAATTGAGTATTAAATTATCGCTACTTTGAACTTCTAAGCATTTTAATGATTCACTGATGTTGCTTTATCCGACCTCACCCCATTTACTCGATCTTTGCTAGCTTTCGGATTTTGGTTTCGCCATCACCAATGGACCTCATATCAAGAACAATATCAAGCTCTCAGGCACCTTAGGGTATGTGGCACCTGAGTACCTTTTAGATGGTAAGTCAACTAAGCCTGCTCAGCATGCATAGTAAACTGTAAATTCTCTAATCTGGCTGCTTAGCTTTTGTCTAACAGTATATTTCTTTCATCGAGAATTAGAGATGCATTTTAATGGCTTTGTCGGGTTGTTTAGTTGCTTTGTTTTATAAACTCTTAGAATAATATGATCTAAGTAGGTGTATATGAATAGTACTTTAGTGATTTATATTTAATTTCAATTGCATATGGGTGCACATGTTATGCTGCTGAATAGCAGGTGGGTCAATAATGCTATGTAATCTGTTCTTACAAAAAACATTTACATGGTTTATTAGCTGATCTCTTTGCCGCCATATTCTTGCTGGACTGAGATTACTCGGTCCACTATATTAATTGTCAGGAACACAGAAACTTTAGAAACCAGAATATTCTAGACCTCTATGTTGAATTCTCTGGCTAGAATACTGGAGTTACGAAGGAATCATACTTTTCAAATTCAAATGATATTTGTGGCCTAGGTTGCGCTTGGTTAAAAAAGAATCACTTAGTGTGTAAGCATTATAGGAATCAGTTTGCCAGGTTTTGGTTTTGTTCCTTTCACCAAGTTTATTTTACCACTAAAGTTTAGCATAGGATAAGTTATAATAAATCATAAGGTGATTTTTGGTGAAAAGAACAATGCCAATGTTAAAGACCAAACTTTGTTTACTCTAATTGTCTGACAGTTTGACTGACAAGTGATAATCTTAGCAGTTTGTTATTGAATATATGATTAATTAAGGGTTTTTTTGTATGTTTCCAGGTAAATTGACTGATAAAAGTGATGTTTATGCATTTGGAGTGGTGCTTTTAGAGCTTCTCCTTGGGAGAAAGCCTGTAGAAAAACTTTCACCGTCTCAATGCCAATCCATTGTGACATGGGTATGTATAATGTGCTCTAATGCGTGCCAATATATTGAGTGATAAGGTTTTTGAGTGTGAAGTTCAATCTATTGCAGGCCATGCCTCAATTGACTGACAGATCAAAGCTTCCAAACATCGTGGATCCCGTTATCAGAGACACCATGGATCCTAAGCATTTGTACCAAGTAAATTTTCACACTTCCCTTTACTTCATTATATATTGTAGGCCCTTTAAGAAAAGTATTTCGATCCGTACTTATTAAGTGTAGGTCACAGTCAAAATTAAGGATAAAAAGTGAACCAAATAGCCTTTGTAATAGTTGGTTATATGTCTATTATATGATTTCAGTGAAGAAACTTTGAAAGATACTTCGTACAATAATAATCAACCATGAGTACTTAGGGGAAACTGATAATGTTATGCTTGACTAGTTGACAAATAATGGGCAGGGACAATTAGTCTGTCCCTAAAGATCCATGCTTAAACTTGCTAAGAAAACAGTTTCTCCTGCAATTTTATAGGTGGCTGCTGTGGCTGTCTTATGCGTGCAGCCAGAACCAAGTTACCGCCCATTGATTATCGATGTTATGCATTCACTTGTTCCGCTTGTTCCAGCTGAACTTGGAGGTACTCTAAGAATTAACCAGCGCACTAATACAAGGGCCTCTGAAACATGTATGGAGCAGCAGACAGCTTAGGAGGTTAAAAAACTTCTACATTTGCCTCACAATTTTGAACTGCGCTATTGTCAGACCTCTCCTGCTTATATTCCTACATCATCAAGTTTTTCTCCTTCTCTTCGTTTCGTTTGAGTTACCCGACATCTCTCTTTTTATCTAAGTCATTGTTAAATTCAGATTTTGTAAATTGACACACATATAAAGATGAATCTGTTGCATCTGTGAATAGAAAAATGCAGTATATTATACATGTTCTGCTCATGTAATTACTTAGTTGGCCTACATCTTGAAATTCATAGATTGTATCTTCATACACTTTAAATTAACCCAACTCAATAAAGGCGGATCCAAACCTTAAATGTATCTGAATATAGATAACTTGATTTTCTCGATGTGATACAGATTAGTCCCATATGTGACTTGAATTAAACCTAATTCACACGACCTGTTTGTTAGCTACGTGCTATTGAGGGCCGATGATATCAGCTTACAAATTGAATGAAGATAAATATTCAAGGAACATGATGCATTAAAGTTAATTACAATGGACGTTAATCACATTGGTACTTGAAAATGACTTCATTAGAATAAAGAAAAGAAAAGGCCATAGTGTCGGGTACCTAATACGAGTAATTATTAAAGATCAACTCAATCAACAATTTTGACTAATGCTAAGCCAACTACTATTATAGCTTATGGCTGTAAAGCCATACCTGTTTCATACAGAAATTTCCCTCAAGTTTAGAACCATGTGAGAATTGTGTACAAATGATTAATTTTCTATTGTATATTTGTAAGTTTTCCGACTTAATTTTTCCTTGATCATATTTGTCCACTAAAAAAGAAATAAAATTGATTCATCATTTTATGAAAATTATCAATTTTTTGTCTTTAATTTACCAAACAAAACCTTATTTCACTAATTAATCCTCGTTTATAACTCATTTTAGTTGTAAATTAAACTCGGGAGACTATAATGACTTCTTGAAAGACTTGCAAAGAAAGCTGGCAAGTGGCAACAACTAAGTGTATAATGACCATTGCGCACACCGATGGGTGGTGATGGCGCAGTGGGTGGCATTGTGGAAAGTTTCAGAGTGAGAAATTTGGGCAATGATCATCAAGTAGTACATATACAGAAAATGTTTATAAAAATAGAGTTTTCAAAGTAAGAGATAATTGTTACAAATATAACCCTCCAAACAAAACTAATAACAGTGCACATAGTGTACATTATTACAAATTCTCGCAGTCAAGATACACTCACCAAAAATTTGAAGGTGTTTTCCTAGCCTTCATGTGTTTAGTGTATATTTATCTTTTAACTAACATTGTAGTATGAGTCTATGATGGCATCAGCAAGATACTCACATTTGGCTGCGGATAAACCAGCCAGTGATATTCTCCCATCCTTTGTCATGTATATATGCCACTTATCCGTCATATTATCACTCTGGTAAAAACAAGTGGATGAAATGAGTAATGGTACATTTGCAGATAGATGCTAATTTGACAAATCTAAATAATACTACAGCCTGGAAAGGAAATTACCTGAGTTTTGTTTAGGCCAGTGAATGAGAACATGCCTATCTGTTTAAGAATAAATGACCAATCCTTCCCACTCTTATCTTTTGAAGTGATATTGTCGTACAACTTCTGCCTTACACTCTTTATCCTACCAGCCATCATTTCCATCTCTTCTTTCCATTCATTGAAAAGTTCTGGATTGCCCACAACGTCAGCAACAATCCTAGCCCCATGAACAGGAGGATTTGAGTACATAGGTCGTGCAATCCTTTTCAATTGGCTCTTTACCCTGAATGAACACACCCACTCTTTTAGTAAAATTAAATTAAACTAGACACAAAACAAGTTTTCTTTGTTGGAAAATTTCCATTTTGGTGCCTTGAAGTATGACATGTCCCACGTAACTCCTAATTTCACACCAGGAATCTTGAATGTCATGTCATAATGTAAAGGGAATTTGGACGGTGATAGTCTTAGGTCACTAAAGTCAAAATAAATTTACAGTCTCAGGTCACCAAGTAAGATATATAAATTGCAGAAAATAATGGTAAAACGGAAATTATCAGAGCTTCAAGCTCATCAAGCATAAGTTTTGGTTTCTGTGATCAGAATGCTTAATCCAACAAAGCATGATTTTGTGGAAGCTGAGAATTGAAAAATTGAAGTAAGATGCAAGAACATGTTTTTACCTTGCAGCAGCATCTGCTGATGAGCAGACAACATTGATTGCACCAATTCTTTCCGAGTAAAGACCAAGATTTTTACTGTAAGATTGAGCAACCAGTAATTCCATACCACGAGCAGCAAACATCCTCATAGATGATGCATCTTTGTCAAGGCTACCACTTGCAAAACCCTACAACACAGAGTACCAAGTGATTAACTAGGAGTAGCGTTGAAAGTTCCATACAGCGCAGGGCGCTGAAAAAAGGAGGGGGGGGGGGGGGAAGGCAGGCTTCCTTCAATGCCTTAAATAAGCATACACATTTACCAAGCAAGACTTGACCTAGTGAGGCTGTGGGATCAAACCTATTGAAACCAATAATCAAGACTCACACAGATGTGTCGCATACGACCTAGTTAAGTAGTATGCTACTCTGAAATCACCTTGCACGGACGTGAGCGTTCATGCAGACATGCAATTATCCCATGTCACTTTTCTTTGCTTTACTTTGACTTTAAACAAAGCCAAAATCTCCTTATATCTCCATCCTTTGCCACTTTGCTTTGCTTGTGTTGAAATATCCTCTACAGAACCTAACAGTGGTTGTTGATCAATCATCAAGAACCTGCTAGCTTTATCATTAGAAACTCTAAGAAGATTTGATTTGTTCAGAATCCTACAGTATGGGAGTCTATTCCTCTTTATCGGTCAAGGATGGTGCTTTAAGAGACTATACAGAGCTACTCATTGGTAAAGACTTATAGTAGGAGATAGTTGGAGATGTTCTCTTGTTCACGGCGAGCAGCTTTATTAATGATGGAAAAAAAAAACACTATGACATGTAGTAAGGATGACAGTATTTTCAAGTCAAGCATACTCTAAAAGAGGGAGGAAAATGGAGAGGCTGACTGGCTTCCAAAGAGTAGATATACAATAATTGTTCCCTGTATTGAAGGACGTGGGTTTAGTCATACAAGAATATTACCTCAAAAGGTCTCCTAATTCAGGTTTCTCATCCTTATAAAGAAAAGATCACACAAAAAACGACCTTTGTCTGGTTTTGATAATATTAGGTTCTGGTCAGTGACTTTCCAATACTTTGTCAGCATGGCACTTCAGAAATCAGGCATATCAAAATATTTATGACTGCTTGAAACTTTACACTTCATCAATGTAGATGCTTGTGCTGATGAATGAACATAATTGATAGAAGTTGTTGAACATTGAAGAGAAATACCTGATAAGCAACATCAAAGAATGGAATATGGCTCTTTTCCTGAATGACATCAGCAATTTTTTCCCATTGTTCAGGAGTTGGATCAATGCCAGTGGGGTTGTGTGCACAGCCATGGAGTAAAATAAATGATCCTTCAGGAGCTGCCTGAAACCATAAGAATCTTAGTACTCCGTAGTTAAATAAAAAAAAATCCAGATAAATAAGAGAATCTGGAAAAGATTACTTTCTAATGGAATTCCACATCCAAACTCAAATCTTCAAGTGTCAAGCAAGCCTAAGAAGTATATAAAAGTCACCAATATAAAAGTGTTTCAGCTTATAGAGTCCATCTCTAATGAGCAGAAAGAGTCATCATAAACAATTTTCAACTAAGGTAATACCAATACTCCATATTAGAAAAAATAAAGATGAATGTAGTATATTTTTTCCTAACTCCTTATCTAGCTTGAAGTTGCAGAACATAAAAGCATTCCAATGAAGGGTTGTCTGAGGAAATAATCTTCTTTCTATTAGCAGGGGTAGACTGCATATATTTGACCCCTCCACCTTGCCTAGGCAAGGAGCCTCATTCGAGACATCATAGTCTCCCTTTTATCTAGAGTTGGAACGCTTGATACATTTCAACTACAAAACATGTTTGATTACCTAAAATAAATTTAAGAGAATTTATCCACAATTAAGTTTGCCCCTCATCAGCCTCTTTTTCCACACCAAACAAGACAAATAAGAAAGTCACATAAACTCAATATCAATATCTGAAAGTATCACAATTGAGCTCATATTCTAGAAAACAAATTTGTAGTAGGAGACTGGGAGTATTAATGTTCCATGGGACAAAACAGCAAAGTATATATCCCAAGGGTAACAAAAATGCCACTTATGTTGTAAGTGTATGAACTGAATTCAACCTAAAACTTCTAAAAGGCTTGTGAAAGGTGGGATCAGAGAAGCCGATAATTCGTGGCAAGCTATCCCACTAACGTAGAGGGTAGCAGTAATGAGTAAACATGAACAAGATGACGATTCTTTAATAATAAATTGCAATTGTCACATAGCACATCTCCACCTTACCTTAATATCCGCTATCATCCCCTCAAAATCCAAACCAACTGTTTTAGGATCATAGTATCTGTACTCAGACCATGGAATTTTGGCATCATTGAAAATATTTTTGTGGTTGCCTGCACCATAAAGAAACTTCAGTCTAGGTCATTATATGCATGCAGAATATGAGTTAATCAAGACATTCTGACTGGATAAGGAGTGAAGAACTAAAGATACATACCCCATGTTGGAGATGATATCAACACTTTTGCCCCAGGGAAATATCGTTCAATGAGTGCTGCTGCAAGGCGAAGAGAGCCAGTTCCTGAAAGACTTTGGACAGTTGCAACCTAGAAAAGAAAACAAGTCCAGTTACATTTCAAATAATAGACAAGGTATCCTATTTCATCTTTTTAAGAACTAAAATAAAATCAAAACATCCCCTTAACCCCCAAATAAAAGGGCAAATCTATGAGATTATCTACAGCAGGTAATGAAAGAGAGATTAGTTGCCTTTTCAGCATACATACTCTTTGTTCTTTCAGAACAGCATTGTCAGCTCCAAACAACAATTCTGCAGTCACTTTGTTAAACGCAGCCAATCCTTCAATTGGCAGATACTGCACAGAGAAATCAACAGGACGTAAGCACATGATGAGAAAAGTATGAATGAGGAAGCTCCACATCCATTCAACAATCCAACATACCTCCTTGTTTTCTCCTCTCTCCAGCATAAGATTCTCCGCCTGAAAGCAATCCCAAACAAAATCATCTAAGACTCAAGCATTTACACAAAATAATGCAAAAACTAAGCAACATTTGATCCAGGGTAAGCAGTAGACTGGAACAAAGAATAGACACCAAATTACAACCACCATTGACTTAAGGAAATATAGCGAATCAGCGTGTAATCAGTAAAAGACCAAAAAATTAGTATCACTAATTCAAGGAATGCATAAAAAGGGAATTCAGTACATACAACACACAAAGACCAAGTCTGACCTTCTTGACAACATTCAGTACGTAAGGCTGGAGTTCTTCGGTTCGATAGGCTCCAACACCAAGATTGAGCTTCTTTTCATCCTTATCAGCTTTAAAAGCTTCCGAAACACCTAAAATAGGGTCTGCAGGAGCCATTGATATACCATCAAAACGAGAAACATTGACGGTGGCAACCATGCTAACCCGACTGAAAGACTGCAATAGGAGGACCAAACACATAAAAACAATAAGCATATCAAAATCTAGTTTATAGTGAAGTTCAACCAATGAAACCCTCCAATCCACCCATTTTCTGCCCCCTGAGCCTAAAAGATTAAATTGAATACTGTTTATAGTAAAGTTCAGAATCATCGATGAACTTTGGCCATTGATAACAGCATCATTACACTCAAAGAAACAATTTTTTAGCATGAAGTTCAGATAAAGAGGCCCAATATGCAGTAAGATCAACATTACAACATAAATTGGCATGAACCTCAATACACATTGCAGAAATTGAATAAATCAAATTCAGTAATAAAAAATGGTTCAATACAAGCGATAATTCCTAGGAAACTATCAAATTCTATAATTATATTATAATGTCACTCAAGATCAAATATTCATTAAAACAATATAACCCAGATAAAAATTACAACTTTATGACAAATCACAGGTAAAACATCAGTAAAACCCAATTGAACAAAAAGATCAAATGTAAATTGGGAATACTAATTACCTGCAATTTAAAAGCTGCATTTCTCTTATCTCCCTTGATAAAAGCATTGGAATCACAGCTGCTCAATTTCACCCTTCCCTAAAATTATGATTATCAAACAAAAAAAAAAAAAAAAAAAAAAAATCAAAACTTTATTTAAAAAACGCAAAGTAATAAAAAAAAAAAAAAGAAGGGGAAGAAGAAGAAACCTTGTTAGAAGGAAGTTGAAGAGAAAGAGAAGCAGCAGAAGATGCAATTGATGAAGCCATCTGAAAAACCCACAAAAATTAATCAACAAATTCTGAACCATTTTCTTTCTTTTTATGTTCTGAGTGAAATCAAAGATAGTTAAAGTGAGAGAAAAAGAAGGAAAGAGGAGAGAGAAAATAGTACCTTGAAGCTACAAAGGACAAAAACAGGGGAAGTAAGATTTAAGAGAGAGAGAAAGACAGAGTGAGTGAGTGGGGAAGAAATGAGTTTGGAAGGGACGATATCGAAAGCATGATAGATGACGTTCTTTCTTACCAATTTGTTACCCAGATTACAGATTTCAGTTTTTTTAGAGTATCTTGGCCCAATCTGATTTTGGGCCAACTTGATCTTTATGATTTTGACTCCCCTATGAGTCTCTAAATACACAACTGTATATGTAGATGAACAAGTAGGGGTAGTCAATCGGGTGTGATCATGTCAATTAGATGTAAACATTAGGTATAAGTATGAGTTAATTTGGTCTAATAAGTTTTGACTAAATAAATTTAGTTGAAGGGAATGTAGGCTATGTAGCCTAAATGTGAGGGTATATTTTAACATACCATATTAAATCTGTTTATCCTTGATTTTCCCCTAAACTTGATTGAACTTGATCTTCTATGATTGGACCAGTCAATAACCCTAATTGAATCAAATTAGCTCTAATTTTTTTTTTAATAAATGAAGTTTATTTGATTAAAGACCAGTATAAAAATAAATGTCTCATAACTTTGGCAGAAATGGACTTACTTTAATGAAAGCTCCTCCTTTTTCCCTTTAAAAAAAAAAAAGGCCAATACAAAAAATAAAGTAACAGAGTTAGATTAATTATAGCTGAATTAAAACAAAGACAATGGAGAAACGATGTTTTTAAGCAATAACTTGATTCTGTTCTAAAATGAGAATATTATTTAGCAAATAAAAGGAGCATCTAATTTTGCTTGGCTTAACAAGAGAGGCACCCCAAAACGGCAAAAAGTCCATAACACTTGATCTCTAACATGCTCATTGATTATATTCTCGAGTATATATTAATATTTTTGGTCACTGTCGGCTATAGCAAATTGTATAAACCGACTTGACTAAACTTAGTGCATTACAATTTTTGACCAGCAGATGCAAATCATGCAGTATTTATAGAATAGAATAAGGTATATTTAGAGTATTATTATTATTTTTTTTAATAATGTTGTGTTTTTGTAAACTCATTTACAATTATTTCTCCCCAAAAATTGGGTAAATAATCCCCGCCGAAAGGCCCACAAACAATCAAGATATAATGAATAATCACAAATAATATACAATGATTTCATAGTTACTGCCATAATTAATAATTGTGATAGTGTAGTTGTTACATTTTAACCAACTATACCACAATATTCTTTAGTGTTTGGCATGTAACGCACTATTTCCACCTCAAGCTACACCTTCTAGCGTAGAACATAGAAACTCCATAAGTTTGAAAGATTAGTGTGACATAGTACACGAAGAAAAGAGTCGAAAATGCCCATAACGCGATAACAAGGGCTATGTTAGCGGATACCACAACAGAAACCCCTGTAGTGAATGCTATCATCAAGGCCCCTAGTGAAAACGTGTTCAACATAAGGCCATGTGACGAAAGAATTCTTATGAACCATGTTGATCCTGTCGTTACTAGGACAAAATATAGAAGTATTGCTATTGTTGAAGACATGAAGGCTATCGCGTTTGAAACTACACAAACTTTGAAGGCCAACCTACCCTTGAGCACGGCCATGCCCATGTTGTCACCTATGTTTTGATCGAATCCACCGGGTAAGGTAAAACCGGCTGTGAACGAGACTGTTGCAATCAAGGCGGCCACAACCAAACGACTTTGAGCTGCCTCTTTGAGCGTGTTAACATTGGTTCCTTCTCCTAGATCATCACCCCTTGCTTTCTCAACGTCCAGATCCATTTCGTACGTGTTGATTCGCCTACCTCTTGGGGCTACTGCTCCCGAAAGACCTTGTAGAATCTGTAAAATATGGAAGGTTAGTTACTATGGGTTACAAAGAGTTGTCACATGTGACACTTCTTACAAAAATTGCATTAAGGTTATAACAACACCGACAAGCATGAAACTCTAAACGTTGCAATTAAAATAACAAAGGAACTAGACAAACAAAATGTATGCATATCTGAAAGACTAGAGTTATTGATAGGAACTTACGCTTTCACGACGAATAATCCGATCATAAGAAGCCATTATATCCCCAACAGTAAGGTCTTGTTTATTGAACACTTTGAGGTCCAAGACGGTGTGGTTAACAATGAAATTCCGGACTTTAAGTAAACACGGATGAGTGTAATTTTTCGGAATAGAGGCAACAATGTGATGCAGAGGTGTATCCCCATTTACATCCTTCTGGTTAAGAAGCTCGTCGAAGTGTCCCAACTTGAGAAAAGAATCAATTTTAGTAAGACAATTCCACTTAGCAGCATAATGCACAACATTCTGTTCATCATTGTCTACTATCTCGATGCAGTCCGGACACGAGGTCATAAGCGCCTTCATAGCGCCCCAGGAACACCGGAGCATCGCGATATGCAAGGCCGTTCGCCCCTTGTTATCAAGGATATATATTGCTGATGATCCTTTTTGGTCATGTTCTAACAGCACCTTCAGAAGTTCTAGTTGACTGATCTCTGCTGCTGCTGAATGCAGGGGTGTCTGCCCCTCGTTATCCCGAATTCTCATTAACGATCGGTCTTTTTCTAGCATCTTCTTTACCATCACTGCTAGTACATACATACATACATGTTCATCCATGTAAAAACAAATTAGCATCTAAATTATACCGGCCATTCTTAGTAATTGGCTTAAATATTTTTCAAATGCGTTTGGTCAATGGTTTTTTGTCGCCCTTCTGGTCTTACAGTACTAATCTAGTCCAGTGCATCATGTAAAACAAATTCACTATAACATCCAATCCAGCCAATGATCGGACCAGTCAATTAAGTTATTAACAGCAATCATATAACAAAAATGATTAGACAATGTTTTCTAATTAAAACGGTAAGTATACCTTACCAGAATTTCCCCACTGTACTGCAGCGTGAAGAGCTGTTCTGCCACTAGGACCTCGATGCGCCATAGCCGAGTAATCGCAAGTTTCGACAATGACCGCAACCGCCTCCGTAGACCCCCTCTCAGCAGCAAGGTAAAGCGGAGTCTCACCCGCCTCATTAGGGCCATACAGACACTTAAAATTGGCGGTAACTAGCCTCTTCACCACATCAACATGCCCTGCACGAGCAGCCTCGTGCAGGGCAGTATCCTTCCTATTATTAATCATTCTCACCAAGTCACCTACATCTTTAGCAGCTCGCTCTAGGAAGACTTGAACAACATCCCCAAACCCGAAACGAGCTGCAAGATGTAAAGGAGTATTACCATTATTGTTCACCTTCCACAACAATGAACTGTCATGATCAAGAACTTCTTTGATGAGCTTAACATTGATCATTCTCAACATTTTTTTATCTTTCGCCGAGCCGCGAAGAGGTTTCCCGACGTGAACGTGGAGGACATTGTTACCGGTGATTGTTGTTTGCTCCTTCCAATCCGGCATACACGAGATACAAATTGACATGTCTAGAAAAGACCCGTATAATGCTGCAATGTAAAGTTCAGGCTCCATGCCTTTGATATCGTTACTTGCAGACTGCTGTACAACTTGATTTAATTGCAGACGATTTCCTGTCATAATTACAAAAATATAATTTAAGAAAAATTTTGTGTGAACTCTAAGAGAGGTCCACTATTGATCTGAGGTAATGAATCAATTGTGCACATTTATAATCCTTCCCTCTAAGGGCTCCAATAACTCTACTTTTATGTTCCTTCTTCCAACCATATCTTACCCATATTTTGGACATATATTAAAAAAAAGATGTACAACAGTACAAGTATATTTTGGAGCTTTGTTTGATATTATATGAATATTATACTACTAACTATTCTACGAGTTAAAACAAGAAAAATTTATAGAGACAGTAGGAGTATTAATTTCAGTAATTACTTGTATAAAGTTGTGGGATAGTAGGGATGAGATTTTTTCAAGCTATATGTCACATATGTGTTAGTTGGTTTGGTGACATTAAGATAATGCTACTTTCCTACGTTTCTATAGAAAAATCAATAATGAATTCCTGACCAAGCCTTAATCACTTTGATTATTACTTATATTCAGTTTATTTTTGATAAAGTGCTTTTACGTATTTTTCGTATCGCCACTTGTTTATCATAACGATGAATTGATGACTTGAGTGAGGGCAATTTGGGAATCTAGTGTACATTTGTACTGCGGTGAAATTTGTGAGTTGAGAGGACTTATAGTACGTCAAAAGGGGTCCGTCCAATTGGGTCCGAGTCCCAACTAGACAAACACTACCGTGGCTTGTGGGACCGTGGGAGTTATCCCTCAAATCTAGTCCAAATGTTTGATTAAGATTACATTTTATCTTTAATAAAAGTTGACACATGTTACCACGCTAGTAGTAGTTACGGAATACCATGCTAATACGTTACACACCTCGTCGTAGAAGACGACATGACATCATTTTCTCAATGATGTAACTTCATTACACTTCACAAAAACTATATCCAACAATACTAAAACTTATAATTTATTGTTAGAAACGTACTCTTAAGTTTTAATTTGAGATTACAATAAATTTGAAAATGAAGAGTATACTTTTAATTGCACCAAGTATTGGGAGTTCTAGTTGTACGTAGTCAAGTTGTGAACAAGTAAAAGCATCTTAAGCTTGTTGATCGCTGCTGTAGCCAGTGTGATGGAGCTGACAGTGGGATTGGATCTTTGCAATTTGCTTACTTCACTCAATCTCGCTGTCCAGATACTCTGGCACCTTGTTAAGTCATTAGCGACTCTTCTTCTTCCTCTTGCATCTTTTACAAAATCTCTAATATATCCTCAACCTCAATCATATGTACGTTTGTAAATTTTATCCAATTTAATTAATGAGTGTGCCTAATATGTAGACAATAATATATAGATCCATTTTTTTTACTAGTTATACAATTTAATTAATATATAGATCGCTTTTTTTTACTAGTTATACAATTTATACACAAACTGTAATACGAGCTAATAAGAGTATTGATAATAACTAAATATTTAGTGGATAGTTAATTGCAAAGAATGAGTTGCAATAGTTGATATTTTGACTAGATTATTATTGTAGCTGTTTGACTAATATTATTTGATATTATATGATTTATATCCATCATCATTTATTACTTTTGCTGAGTAGGTTTTCCCACTACAACACCACAATTGGACTTTTTCTCCGTATTTTCAACATCTTTATATTTGATTATTTATATCATTATATGTAATCTTATTTAATTTGTTACAACATATATTTTTCAGTAAAGTCAACATAAAACATGCTCCACTCCATTTACGAAAATTAATCATTTCACCTACTTTGTACAAGAGTGTTGATACTTAATCTTTCCAAACTCCAGTTATTTGATTAACTTATTACTCATTATTTGTATTGAAGGGAAAAAAATAATTATTAAGTTTGCGGTGGATTTTGCAAGATATTGCTTTCTTGACTTCCTTGTTTGTTTAATTAAGGCCCTGTTCTTTTGAGCTTTTAGGAAGAGCAGAGTAAGGCAGAACATATTTCAGCAAAGCAAAGTAGAGCAGGGAAGAGCAAATTTAAGCATTATTATTATTATTAGTTTTATTATTATAATAATAATAATAATAATAATTATTATTATCGCATTATTATTATTATTATTATTATTATTATTATATCTCAAAAACAGACAAAGTCAAACAACCTACAATTAATTAGTGGGAAGTCGAGATACAATCTGGGCTCCCACTTCATCCTATCCTAGTGAAAATATTATTATTATTATTAATATTATTATTATTTATTTATTTATTTATTTTTTTAGATGTTTTTACTCTTTTTATAACATTAGCAAATGTGTTAATAATATAAAATATTAATTATTACCATTAAATATTAGTTATTTTTATCATTATATATTATATGTTAATTCTTCTTATTATATTATTAAATATTAATTATTATTATTATTAAATATTAATTATTATCTATAAATATTAGTTGTTATTAATAAATATTAATTATTATTGTTATTATTAATTATTATTTTTTATATAAAACAGAGTAAGGCAAAGCAGAACAGATTTCAGTAGAGCAGAGCAGCTCTAAAAAACAGGGCCTAAGACTATTAAGGAGATCTAGCTATATCGCCTATATGAGGTTGATGTCCAGGACTGGCTTGGGGAAGCAACGTATGTGGGGTAGGCAAGTAGGCAGCATCATAGAACGAAGCTTCAATTCTTGGCAGTTTGTAGCTCTAAACACTGTTGTAGTGTGCCTATTTTATGGGCATTGTCATCATATAATGTGTTTGTGAAGTTATTGATTATTGGAGTGACATTAAACATGGAAAGGTGTGCTTTTAAAAGAATTTTATGAAACCTCAAAGTGAAGAAGTTGTTATTATTTGTGTGCTAGAGAGGGGCAAAGCTCCAAACTAAAAATCAAACAAAAATTCATCCAATCTAAGTTTACGAGCAATCTTTAAATTTACTCTTGATCCCATCATATTGCTTAGGCCGTCCTCTTATATTAACTAGTTTTTGTTTATCTGAAAGGCCGTCCTCTAAGAAATTTTAATTCCTATGCTCAATCAAATAATCATTATTAAGAAGAAAAAAAATAATTATTGGAGTTTGTGTGCATTACAAGTTGATGGATTGCAATAAATCTAAATAATTACTGCATATTAATTAAAAGTTTAAAAGGAGTAAGTGGGGAGAAATAATACAATACAGTTAGTGAGAGGATATTTATAATGAGTAATAGTATCATTGTACTTACTAACTAATATCCTACGAAATCAGTGAAAGAGTATATTTATAATGACTGATAATCATAATTTTTCTTCTATAATAAAAGGATATTTTCCACGTAAAAATCAATTACGAATCGTCTCTTATTTTGTTATCCTTTAAGTTATTATTAACCCATTATTGTGTGTATTTAGTGCACCATCCCCAACACAAAATAACATAAATACGTGATACGCAAGTGGTCAAATGCACAACTTGTGCAAGTTGCGAAACTTTTAGAGGTTGAAAAGTTGGCTTGAATATAAGCCATATAAGTCGGCATTTATAGTTTTATCCCTTAATAACAATTATTAAAGTCATAATACAATCAATCAGATCATACATTAAACTATTAAAGCATCTTAGCCGATAACGAACAATTTCTAGCCTCATAACTCCAATGATTTCTTGCACTAGTAAGAGAATTAATACTTGGTATTAGGAAATGAAAGCAGACAAGCATCAATTTTTTTAAGAAGAAACGGCAATATTTTGGCATTATTGTTGCCATGTAAGCACAAACTAGCTAATACTTGTACAATAATTGAGCACAAATAATATTATACATATGTCAAGTTGAATGAAATTATTACAATATAATATCTCTGTGTATTACTTTGTAAAAAAACAAAAAATAAAATAAAATCCAACCATTTAATCATTTTTATATATGTAGTATATATATTGCTCATTTTATGTAAATTTATGAAAGTAGAGTATCATAATAGATTACCTGATTTTTCGATGAACGAGTAATAACATCTGGATAAAAATAAAATAAAATTACCGGGTATAAATTAAATGACCTATCTGAATTATCAAGAATTAAACATTATAAGTGCGCAAGATTTAAAAAAGAAATGAGGATAATTTGGCAAAAAAAACAAAAAGATTAGAGAGACATGATTTAATATAGGAATAATTTTGAAGACACTAAAATAGAAAAAAAGAATAATAATATTTTTTTTTTTTTTGGTTCATATGAGCCACTTAAGGCGGGGATGAGAATCGATCCCAGGATCACCTGAATAATATTATGATATGGGGGAATACAATTTATATAGACGATCTATGCGTCTATCCATCTAAGCACCTATTTATCCAACATGAATTTAGAATATATTGTGCGAGTTATAATGGAAATTTGAAAATCTTTATTTGGCATAGGCCTACGTTAGAAGAGAGTGAACACATATATGTTTAACGAGATGGAACAATTAATCAACTTACATGTGTGTTAATTTCTTATCAAACCAACAAACAAACATCATAGCCTGATATTTTACATTATACCTAGTAATACTAGGAAAAAGGTGAAGCTCGATATACCGATTGTAAAGTTAGTAAGAAAAAAGTTAGTAAAATCTTAAATGGAGTAATCAGGAAGTGGTCAAGTGGAGTGGCTTGATAAGTAATGGAAGATAACGTACGTGTGGTGCTTACTTGTTTGTCTTTGCTTTTCTTTGTTGCCTTGTTTTTATGCTCTTGCATTATGCATTATTTTTATGCAACTGTCCTTGTATTTTCTTCATTAGCGCTAGGGGCCTCCGTCGTCGCGGTGGGGCCTTCGGAAAAAGGCTCATTCACCCCTCGCTTTCATACTAGTACTAGAATAATATAGTAGTGCACGTAAAGAATGCCGATGGGATTGGAATAGGGTGGCCAAAATGGCATGAATACTAGACACTCAATGATATCATTCTCTTCTTAGTTCTTATGACTTGTCTCAAAGGCGCTGGAGAGTGGGCCTAGGCATTTGGCAAGTCCTAAACATTGCTAATCAAACATTTAAGCCTTCACCAAAATTCTTATTAGAAAGTCCACTTTATAATTTCAAGGAGATTTAAATATATATGATCATAAGAAAAGTTGTCCTTTAGTTTTACAGTATAAAGTGGATATAACTTTTTTCATCTCAAAATTCTTCATATCCAGCCCAAACTTTTTGTTGTTGTTGTTGTAGACATACCTCCAAAAATCTTCATTTAGGATTTTTTTTTTTAATTTTTTTTAACTTCTCTTTCCTCTGTATTCTAGGAAATTGTTAAACACGTTATAAATCAAATAAGTTAATACTAACCGTTTAGTAAGTTATTGGACCTTTGTAATAGTTCTATTTTTTTGTAAAAAAACAAAAAAAAAACACATATATACTACCAAGTACCAACAAGATATATTACACAAGTGCATGCGTAAGTATGCGTAAATCTCTCGTCAAAAGA